TTTTTATTAAATCATAGCTGTGTACATTAATATTGTCATGGGGTACAGTATGCTGTTTTTATATACAATTTGAAATATTTTCATCAAACTGGTTAACATAGCCTTCATGTCATTTCCTTAGTTATTGTGTTAAGATGTGGTTCATCTTATAAGGGTACATGTCAATTTTTCTAAATGGAGGCTCGAGTCTTTGTAGTCAATTTGCTGGGTGATCCTACTCACACTTTAATTTCTCCCATCCTTATTGTAAACCTTGGAGTCAGTGTACTTAACTCTCATCATCATTTAATGGTTGAGAAAATGCATGCTCAGAGAGGTTAAGTAACTTGCCCAAGGTCACACAGCCTGTAGGTAGTAACTTTGAATTTGAAATCAGATCTACCAGATCTCCAACACACCCAGCATGCATTGCGCTTCAGTTTCTCCATCTCTGTGATGGGGAGTGAGAGGCTTGGACCAGCAGGCTCTCAGATTCCGTGCTATCTCCAGTTGCTCTCCTCTCTCCCCAGATCTTTCTTCTCCCACCATCTCTCCATGGCTTCCATCATGGTGGTGGACTCTCCAGGCTTCCAGAATCCCCGGCACCAGGGCAAGGACCGGGCGGCCACCTTTGAGGAGCTGTGCCACAATTATGTCCACGAGCGCTTACAGCTATTGTTCTATCAGAGGACCTTTGTCTCCACGCTGGAGCGATACCGAGCGGTATGGCCAGGCTAGAAGGGGATTGTCACCAGCACTCAGAGGCGCATGTGAGGTCAGACAGCAAAAGGTGGTTGCCCGACCCCAGGAGGCTCCAGCTTCACTGTTTCTGCTTCACAGGGAATAACCCCCTTGCTCAGGGCCCGGCCCCCCTCTGCAACTTCCTCTGCAGCCCAGCCTCCCTGCTGCCTCCTGAACCCCATAGTCCAGAAGCACCAGGGAAGGTAGGTTCTTTCTTTAGGCTGGCCGGTTCTTCCACAACAAGGAAAGCCCGTCATGTGCCGTGGGCGGGTGGAAACAGCGGACTGCACACTGCTGTGCACACAACGTAGTGATTCCCACAAATCTGAAAAGGCACTGACCCTAGGAACCAGCAATTCCACTTCTAGGAAGCAGTCTAGAAAAACTGTGTGAAGGAGCCAGGTGACATGTACCAGCATGGTCCTGACAGCCCTTTCTCATTAGCAACGATATTAAAATTGAAATATAACATTTGTAAAGAAAAGTGTATAAACCAGAAGTGCACAGCTCAGTGAATTCATCTGAAGGAACATAGGTGTGTCTGTATCCCAGGGGAAATGAAGACGTTGCTGGTACCCTATACGCCCCCCCAGACCTGCTCCTATGATATTCCCTGAAGGTCCACTTTGACGCCAGCAAGTACTAAGGGAAGAACATTAGAAATATGCATATTCTTCATTGATACAATGCTAGGTATTGAAATTATGGCCATTTCTTGGGCTGGATCTGAGACAGCAGTAAAAATGAAAGCATCAACAGGAATGGACCTCAAACAAATGACACTGATGTGACCTAACTGTCACTTACCGGCTGTGTGGCCTTAGGAAAGTCACTCAGCCTCTCTGATCTTCAATTTCTTCACATGAAAAATAGAGAACATAACACTCTTGCAGCAGTTACCATTTGCTACAATAATGCTGCATAATGAACCACCACCAAATATAGGGGATTATTTAAAAACAACAAGAACAAAAGCTTTGCTTATTGCTCACAAGCCTCTGGGTAACCGAGGCAGCTCTCGGGGCCTTGGCTGGGACAGCTCTGGAGTCTGGGGTCAGCAGTAAGTCTGGCAATTGGCAGTGATGATTATGGCTGGGCTCTTGTAGGTGTGTGCAGGTCAGCTGGCTGTGTGCTGGGATGACCTCATCCCTGTTCCACAAACATCAAGTCCTTCAGGCGGCTAGCCCAGGCTGTTCTCATGGTGCTGAGCAGGCTCCACAGGAGTGAGCTGAAATGTTCGGGGCACCATGGGGCCCAGGCTTGGAACTGGCACAGAATCATTTCTGCTATGTCCCCTCAGTCACAGAAAGTCCAATTCCAAGCACTGATTCAAAGGGCTGGGAAAATAAGCTCCATTTTTGATAAAGAAGCTGCAATTTCAGTCTGCAAAGAGTGGGGATATGGAAAAAACAGAGAACCAAGGTTGTTTTTATGATCATTTTTGTTATCCTCCCTAAAGGGGCTGTTTTGGGCATTTCATTAAGTAGGATAGGAAGTGTCTATTCTGTATCAAGCATTCTGTAATGTGCTAGCAGCTATTATATTTTTCCCCATAATATTTCAGTTATTTCTGATTATCACAGTAATTCGTGTTCTTTATTAAAACACTGAAAAGCGCATAGAAATAGAAAGAAGCCTCAAAGACAATCTTCTTTAGCCACACACCCAGAGGTAACCACTGTTACTGTTCTCTGGATTGTACCAGTCATTTTTAACCACGTTATTTTTCTCGTATTACACTATTCACATTGCCTCCTGCCATTTGCAAGTCTCCATGAACAGGCACTTCAATGGTTATATTTGATCTATCTTAACTCTTCTGTGCACATCTGGGTGGCTTCCAAGTTCAAGGCCTAATAAACAACACTGCGATGAACAAGGCATTATGAACAACACAGCATTGTATGGACGTTTCTGGAAATTATTATCCCTCATTTATGCTTGTTCCCTCCAGCACCAGGCACCCATCTTAGTACTTTGTTAGGCTATCAGCAAATATTTAAAAAGTTTATGCTGAATTATCAGTACCTGACAAAGCTCTCACCGTGATTTATAACAACACTGAAGAATATCAGGACAGTATTGGGATGTTGTTGATCTGTTACCTTCATTTTCCTACAAAGGCCAAGGAGAGATGATCGCAAAACAGCCAGGCCACCCCAGTGGAAACTGGAAACTTCTTCCAAAGAAGATTTACAAATTTACGCGTAGGGACGCTCAGCATCACCAAGGATAAGGGAGAGGCAAACCCGATCCACACCCACGGGGATGGCCACTATCAAAACAAAGAGACCAACCAACACCCAGAAATAACAAGTGTTGGCGAGGATATGGAGGAACGGAAACGTTTGTGCGGGAGGAGTGGGGATGTGAAATGGTGCCACCACTCTAGAAAGCAGAATGAGGTGCCTGAAAATATTAAAAAGAGAATTACTGTGTGACTCAGAGTTCCACTTCTGAGCACATGTGCACGAGAGCTAAACTCCGGAACTAAAGGAAGCATTCGTACACCTGTGTGCAGAGCAGTGTAATTTACAGCAGCCAAGCTGTGGAAGCGACTCTAAGTGTAGACGGCCTTGGACACAAAAGGAACCGCAAAAAGAACTACGCATGCGCACGGGGAGGTCTATTCAGCTTTAAAGTGAAGGGAATTCTGACAAAATGGTCCAGCGTGGATGAACCTTGAAGGCATGATCTTAAGTGAAATAAGTTAGAAGCAAACAGACAAGTCACCAGTGATTTATTTATGTATAGCACTTAGAATAGTCAAAATTACAGTGACAGAAAGTAGAATGGTGGTGGCCGGGGGGCAGGATTGGTGGGGGAAAGAGGGAGTTTTTGTTTCAGAGGTTCTGAGGTTCAGTTTTGAAGGATGAGTAAAGTTCTGGAGATAGATGTTGGTGCCGTTGTTTAACAATGGGAAGGCACTCAACACCACTGAACTATATACTTGACAATGCTTAAAAATGTATATTTCATGCTGCGTTTATTTTACCATGATATAAACAATAATTTGAAAAGGCCAAGGAGAAGTGAATGTTTTTGCCGCTTTGTCCTCCAGAAGTTCCCTTCTCCACTCCGTTCTCTGAAGGACCTAACTTTTAAATGCTGTGATTTTTTCAGGAAGGTGTTCCTGTGCAGTTCGACCTCCCAGAAGCCTCCCCAGGGCCCACCGTGGCTGTCGTGGATCAGAATCCCTCCCAGGTAACACAGGGCCCCGCCGACCAAGGCTCTCAGATGCCATGTGGCCTTTTGGTTGAAACACCAGTGGAATCACATCTTTAAACTGCTTGTCCTCAATGCTGTCTGCACCTAGAAGCCCACCCTCACCCGGGGCTTGTTAGAAATGCCTGTGCCAGGGACCCCCGCCCCTAGACTCTGTGTGGGTAGGTTTGGAGTGTTGCCGGAACTCAGGAGATTCACATGTCCTCGGGTTGAGAACCATTGCTGTACACTGCCTCCATGTGCTAGGAGACAGACTCGTGCCTGGGAGCCCACGGTCTGAGCTGAAGGCAGTCCCAGGACCCTGGCTGGGGCCCTCCAAGCCACTGTGGTCTGGAAAGATCAGAGGGCCTGACCGATGAAGTTGCGATGTCCAGGCAGAGACGGGGAGCCTTGGGGAATAAAGGATGGGGGTGCTGTTTGGTCCAGGCCCCTGAACTCCCTTGGGGGCAGACAGACATTAGTTTGGGGGTTACCCTGAGTGTTTAGCTCCCTTTCCTCCCTAGAACCCCCCTTGCTGACCCCAGAGTGGCACCTCTGCTCCACCCCAAACTGTATTATTCCGCTTGACCTTTTGTTTGCCTCCTTCACGTTTTGGCATGAAAGTGCTGGGGCTGTGCAACTGCTATGCTTCGGCCCCGTCTTGGTGACCTTGGGCACATCACTTCGCCTCTCTAAGCCTCAGTTTTCTTCCTCCACAGTGGGAGTGATACTTTTCCTGGGGTTGTCATGAGCATCAGTGAGGTGCTGCATAGCTGGTGTGGTACTGGCCCAAGGAGGTGGCCTGCAGGCGGCATTTCCCTCGTGTTTGGCTCTGCAGGCTGTCCTTTGCTTCATGCCTTGTCTCCTGTTGACCCGCGGTGAGGGGGTGACTTGCAAGCTTTTCCTCACTCTATAGTGGGTTGCACCTGCCACTGCAAAGCTGTCTTGTGTGTGAGTCTTGCCAGCTGTTAGCCACGTGTTTGCTTCCAGTCGGCATAGATTTGGGTCGGCATTCCTCCCCACCAGGCTTCCTCAGCTGTGCCTCTCCTTGGAAGGGGAAGGAAGTTTCAGCAGTGTTCCTTGGGAAAGGTGGGGTAGAGCCCAGGGCCACTGGCCTGTGGCTGTGAATAGCTGCCTTCTAAGGACAACTTGGTGTCAGTGTCAAACCCAAGGAGGACAGCCAAGGTGAAGGGCCAGGATACCAGTTCCAGCTCTGCCCCTGTGACTCTCCAGGAGACCCTGGGTGTGGCCCTTCTGCTCCCTGGGCCTCTGGATTTCCCAGTATAAATGACCAAATGTCCAGGTTTACACAAGACTTTTCTGGCTTTAGCACTGAAAGTCTTATTTCTTGAGTACCTCTAGATAGTTGGTCACTATGCATATTACGGTACCACTGGGTGCTGTTTCGGGTTGTACCAACTCCTCATGGGCCCTTGGATAAATGCTTTACTGTCCCCAGGATTCTTTCACTTTCCCATATGCAAAATGACAGGGCTGATTAGGTGGTCTCTGAAGCCTGCAGCTAGATTTAAAATTCCATTCTGTGGTATTGGATCAAGTTCACCTTCTTCCTTAAAATGTTCTTTGAGTGCTTGTTGTTTTTTTCCCCCCAAAGATTTTGGTTTTAAAAATACAAAGACTTCTAAGAGGAAGTGATGCAAATAGAATTAATCCTTTCATGTTTGGCTATGCACAAATAGACCAGCTGCCCATGTATATCTAGAATTGGGCAATTTGCAGAAATCCTCACCACACCTCTCTGAGGAGGGTATTCAGGTAGAAATGCGACTCAGAGAAGTAAGTTGCCCCAGGTCACACAGAAGATGAGGACAGAGGCAGGATTCAGACCCTTTGCAACTGACAGGCTGTTACAGTTTTGTGGCTTCAGTACTGAGAGTCTGGGGGTGAATGGGCACCTATGTTGGGACAGAAACATTCTGAGTCCTGGTGATTGAGAACTGGATCCCACTACTCCCTGTCAGTGGGAAGAGAAGCCCCTGAAGGGGATCAGGGCCCCTCAGCATATCCTGGTCTCCTGCCAGGTCCGCTTACCAGCTGGAGGAGGTACCGAGGATGCAAAGGGCCTTTTCTCTGTCCTGGATGAAGAGGTCCGAATGGAGGGTTCCAGTGACAGCACGATCCTGGAGCGCCTGTGTGCGGCCTTTGAGAAGAAAGGAGCTGGGGCTGAAGGTAAGGGAGCAAGGAGGTGGGGGTGGCACT